TCCTTTCCTTTCCTTTCCTTTCCTTTCCTTTCCTTTCCTTTCCCTTCCCTTCCCTTCCCTTCCCTTCCCTTCCCTTCCCTTCCCTTCCCTTTCCCTTTCATTTCTTTACCCCTTTCATTTCTTTACCCCTTTCTTTCCTTCTCTTTTGGTGATAGCTTTATATTATACAGTTTTCATAATTCACAATGGTCCCTGGGTCACTTTAGCTTCAGTGCAGCACCACAATTCTCTACATAAAAGAAAGAGTTCTTATTTTAGGAAGATAGATTTGATGAAAGTGAGCAACTACGAGTCTGTCCTTAGCCACATCATCCCTCCTGAGGAAATAAATTTGCTGCTTAGCAGGGTGCCTCCAATAGTACAGTGCTGGTAATGAGAGAGGATGCGGCTCATAAACACTCCTTAGGATCGAAGAAATGCCTTCCTCCTGGCATGTATAGTACTTTCTCAAAATGCCCCATCATGGGGGAGATGATGCTTAGGACTTCCTGTTCTCAGGTCAAATGTCATGAAAAAGCAAAAAGCCTCCTCAATGGAGTGAAGTGGGGAAGGATGGAGTGTTAAAAGAAGGATCACCTAGAAAATAGGGATTAATGGGGACTAATCCTCCTGAACCTTTTGGAGAGCAAGATGGTTTTGAGTGTGTGCATAGGCACTTGTGCCCCACACCCCACCTCTGGTGCTCTGACCTATCTACACCACCCCCCACGAAGACTCGCAGAAGAAGTCCTGTGTGATGTCAGGGGACCCCTCCTGCTTGGCAACAGACATATCAGTAGAATCGCAATACATCACCATCTTTCACAAGTACTGCTTTCTAGACAGAAATGTGCTGCTCACCCCAGCATAGTACTCAGGATAATCCTCACTGAAATAACCGCATAGGTCTGGTACTACTCAGTAAGCCTGTAAACAATCTGACCTTAAAACTCTACATACCAACACCTGTGTAGGAAGTAGTTACTGCCAGGGTGCACAGCGCACTGCAGCTTCCCAAGCGGGCTCAACGATGTTGTCTACTCCCAGTGACTCTTGATGCAGAAAGGGCAGGGATGATTATCTTCAATTTTAAAGACGCAAACAGGCTCAGAGGAGTTACCACCTTGTCAATGCCATAAGTGGCAAAGCTATTACTAGATTTTTTTTTTTTTTTTAGCATTTCTAGCATGGCACTCTTCCACAGACTCTCTTCACAACAGATCAAAGCATATTCTTTAGCGTTTTAATGCTTTTATCACCCTTTCCTGTATGAGTGCTTCCTCAATGGTGAGATAAGTATCATGTTAAGGAAACATGGCCCCAATTAAGGAGAACATAGGGTTTAAAAAAGCATATAGTCTTTACAAATTAAAGCAACATAGCTGTTAACTATCTAGCCTCTATTTTCCAATCAGTTTAAATTACTTTAATGTATGTTTTTAAACTCAAATTTAGCTCCAGTTCCAATATATAACTTTCTTAATGCTTGGCAAATTGCACTACGCCATTTCCTTTTAAATTTCCTCCTTTTGCATCATGCTTCACATTCTGGCCCACGTGTCTGGAACTTGGAATTGTCTTCTCATGTCTGCTCATTTCAAAAGGGAGATCTTTGTCTTTGTTATTTTGCAGAATATTTCTTTTATGCCTTAAAGTCATATCATTTCCACCTGGAAATTTACTTCAAGTTTTTTATTCAGTGTTTCCTAATGTAAGAATTCCTCATGGCATACCTAAAACAAAGTCAAATTAGAGTGAAAGTGAAGAACATAAATTGTGACCTGTGTCTCATCTGGCAGAGATGCCTTGCCATCGTTGAGTTTAGAAATTCAAGGTGATGAATGTACAAGAGGATGACATGAGTACATCTGGTTCCCGCTGTGGGAAAGTCAGAATGATTGTGAGTTAATTTCCAAAGAAAAGAGAACCTCTGAGTATAGACATTTTCAATCAATAGTCAAGCAACCCAGAAAAAAATAATTTGAATGAAGTTATTTTCCTCTAATGGCTGTAAACAAAAAGATAGGTTTCAAAGAGACTGGCCTCAAATATGATAATGTCCTCCTGATCAGAGAAAAATAACCAGGTCTAATTGACAGTTCCAAAACACAGAGCAAAGAGGACATTTTCAAAAACATGCTCTGAATCAAAGCTAGAGTAAGCGACGTCACTTTGATTTCTGTCCCCATCTTTCACCAGTGGCATGCTCATCCTATCACATCCAGCATGCTTTAAAAGGAAACTACTTGAACACAAAATCTATTACTTCATGATAGACTAATCTTCTAGAGTACACTTATTTGCATTTTGGGGGATTGAAAGCATAGATTCACATGATTTTCACAGTGACGTGTCTTTACCTTGTCTATTATTCCCAACCAGCCTGATTTGGGGGCAAGGTGGAGCTAAGGCGGTAAAAAGGCGAATGTGAGTGTGTTTGCATGTGCAGACAGGGCACCGTGACTGTAGAAAAACTTGGTGGTAAACCCCTCTGGCCAGCTGGTCTTGCCAGCATCTACCTAATCCTTGGTTCACCTGACCTGGCAGAGCCCATATGGTGAGTGGTATTAGTATCCTCTACCTGAACAGCACAGGGATTGGCTTTCATATCCTAGGTATTCATGAGAGGTGACTTGGGCCAGCAAGACACATATCTCTTGTTTTCTATTTTCTTGCATTCATTTGTTACCACATTCCCTAGCTTGCTTTCTACGTTAGCACTTGGGACAAAGTTCCAACTTGGGCACAAATGGTGGAAAATGATTTTTCTCTACCAGCCAACGAAAGTGCCCTAGCGACAAAACCTGAGACTTAATAAGCACTAAAGGACTTGGATTTCCAACACTAAAATCTAAACTTGGGGAATGCAGGGGCTTTTTAAAAATTGCTATTCAGTACATTGTGTTTATATGAATAGAGAGGTTCATTATACTGATTCTCTGTGGCCACCCAGAAGGTCAAGTCTAGTGTTAGGTTAGTTATTGTCTAGTAAGAATGGTTGCCTTTGCAGTCTGATTTGTAGCAGCATTTTCTTCTTCTTTTTGGTCCTTACGCACCTCCAAGATTCACAATTATAAAAGTCCCCTAATAGATAATTTTTAAAGGATCTGAGCAACCCCGAGGTTGTCAAACCTCTCCTTCAGCGTTCTCCATATTAAATGCTATTTCTATAGCCTGAAAACAGTCTAGGAGAGTATAAGTTTGGTTCTGATTACATAATTATGCTACAGAAATATGAAAAAAAGCATCACTAAAACCCTCCAGGTGCTTAAACAGTTTGATAGACTGTAGCCATTCTGCCATCAGCGCCCCCAGCTGTGTTGCTTAGCAACATTTTAATTCCAGAAGAATCGAAGGAGATGAAATCCCTGTGGAGAAGGAAACAGAAATAAGAGGACTGTTGACAGATGATCTGAGTTGTTTCTTCTAATATACTGTGAAGATCACTAGCTCTTTTCATGAATGATAAATGGACTGTACACAGATCAATGGGCTCAGCAATAAACTGGAACCAGGCTCCATGTCTAAGGTGACGCAGGCCCAGAGGCCCAGAGATTTTCCTCATCTCAAGATTTGATGTGTATTTTCTTAAAGGTTCTACGGGAGGAAATTGATCTCAATATTTGGTCATTCTTTGCTCTTTCATGGTGTTTGCTTCTAAAAGTGATTTTAGAAATGGACACTTTGCCCTTTATCCTGGCATGCATGCGGCCACATGGCAATAGTAACAGTAGGGTGAATGGTTCCCTACCACAGCCCAAAAACTCCAGGATATGCCTGCGACTCCTCTGTACCTCCCTCCGTTCACTGCCACTACAAGTCAACCAGGCCCACATGGGTTCAGAGTGAACGGTGTGGAAGGGAGAGCCTACTCGCACGGCCCCTGCTGAACCGATGAGCAGCCTTAACAAAGCCCGCCTGTGTTTGAAAGCTGCACTTGGACAGGTAACTGTTCCCTGGGAGAACAAAATGGTTCTTTATAGTGCTATCCACTTATCAACAGTGCCATGCTTCCCTTAGCTCCTGAAAAGTATTTTATATTGCTTATTGTTTTGGTTACTAATTGCAAAGATTATGCCTACTAATGTTACCTAACTGCATTTTTTTTCTTCTGTTTACAGGCTGTCGAAAAAGCAAAACCTAAGAATAATCCTGTGAAGTAAGTTATTATTTTTAATAGTTGGAAATGTTATTGTTAATAGATGTCATGTGTATGAAAAAATAAGGTCATAGAAGAGACCTGGATTTTGAGTAAATCTCTACTTATGACAGTTTATTTTATTTTATTTTATTTTATTTTATTGGTACTGGGAATCAAACTCGGGACCTGCACTTGCCAGGCAAGCGCCTGTGCCGCTGGACTATATCCCCGGCCACTTACTTATGACAATTTAAGGACAAAACAACAACAGCAACTCTCCAGTGAGTGAGGACTAGCTTACATTCGTCCTTGTGTCCCTGATGAGGAAATGCCCCAAGTTGTATCCAGTTTACATAAGTTAATACGTGCCATCCATGGATAACTACCAAATACTATTTCAATCATATTCAATGCATAGTACTTCAAGCCTTTGGGTTCTGCACACTCTAAAAAGATTACATTTTTAATTGTAAACCTTAGACCTACGACAGAGACATAAATGGCTAAAGTGTGCCAAGACATCGCCAGCCACGCGGGGACATTTCGTATCTTGGCATTAAGACTTGGATTCTCTGTTAATGAAAAGCTCGTAAAAATACATTTAACTAAAGGTTTTTTTTTTTTTCTAAGGCAACAGAGAGCTATTTTTAAAGCCTTGTATTGGATACTCTGAAATTATAAAAAGTCATATAGTACTCTTTTTTCAACATAATACTTCTTAGACATCGTGTCTCTTCCAGAAGGGAGACTTTCAAATTAAGAAGGATGGCCGTCTTGTCATTTGGGTCTATGACATCTGACTGCAGTGTTGTAATGCATACCAATCCTTTCAGCCGTGTGGCCAAGGGAGGACTTGCTCTATTTGCCGGGTTATTATAGGTCTGGGAATATCACATGCCTAGGAAATATGTGTCAATTTATGTCAGCCAGCTCCCATTATAGCTGATACCAAATACAGAGATGAGGAGTGCATTGATTTTTAATAGTTTCTGGGAGAATGAATCAGCTAATGCTAAGGACAAGAAAGCTCCTTGTGTTGTGTAAAAAGAATTAACTATTCCAGGGCACACCACTCATGTTTAGAATAGTATTAAATCCAAGCCCTACTACATTTCCTCCAGAATATTATGCACTTTGTTTTTAAATTTCATTGTTCTTAGGCCGCAAAGAACAGACTGTTCTCCGTCAAGCCTCTGTAGCCTCTGGAGGGGCATCTGTGTTACGCTGTAGTGCTTCTATGGAAGTAGTTTCGTTTGCCAAGCTTTTGGCTGGTTGTTTGGTTAAAGTTGAAATCTTCTCTACAGTCTAATTTCTTTTTTTGTCTGTATGCCCTCAGGGCTCCTCCACTGTGAGCCTATGCTAGAAAGCTCTGTGAATTAGAGGATGGTGCTAATGAGGCCAGGACCAGGGCTGTAGTCCCTGGGTGGGCCATTAGTGAGCCTCTCAACCGCAGTCCAACTGCACCCCTCCCTCCAGTCTGCCTGCATACAGATGTGTGCCCCCTGTCACAAGGGCGAGGTAAGAGTAGCAGGAGTGTAAATCTAGGGTTTTGCTGGGACAGATGTCTCCAAATTCCAGCCCTCTTGGTAGGAATTGAGCCCCAAGGTCTGTCAGTGCATATACTGCACAGCCCTACATGACTGTGTGGGGGCTATATTACATCGCAGCCACATTGTACGCTACTGGCTTGGAAATAGGACCAGTGTTCTCTTTGCTCCGCTTGAGAAGTTAACCCTGCAGATATATATTTTTATGAGTTGTTGTTAATTCACAGTGCAGACTCTATCTAATGTCTACCACTGTAAAGAATGATTTAAAGATATGAAAACTGGAAGAGTGAAAGAATTATGAGAGCCTTCTACTTTTAAATATATTTGAAAATCTGCTTAGTAGTAAAACTAAGTCATGACCAACTGGTAGGTGTTTAGAATTCCCTTCTAATTGGTGTCCTAAGTGTGAATTTGGGTATGATATTCCATTAGGGCTCACAACAGCAAACTCATATGCCCAAGTAGTGTTATGTAGCCACTTTAAGAGAGGCCTCCTCAACTTCTCAGTTCAAGGACCAAAACTCCAGATTATGGTTCAGTGTCACTGCCTGCAAGAAGAAGAGTCTAACCTTCTTTAAAGTGTCATCTATAATGGTCCTCTTGTCATTTCTGATGCCTGCCAGAAAATTTTGGTTCCACATAGTACACTGGGACCTGACATAAAGATTCTATCCATGTTTTCTGAATGAGTGCACAAGCAAACAAGGTTGCATACATCTCAACAATAGTCCTTCCACAAGCTTGCAAGGCTGGAGGTTTATAAGGCTGGTGGCTCTACTGTGACACAGTGTTCCCATGAGGTTAGAAAAGCTTCTGTGTTTTCTTGGCCAAGTTTTCCAGCCTGTTATTGTTGACTCCTGTTCTCATGTTTCTCTGGCTCCTTCTAGTTACTTTGCTTTTGAAAAATTCCTTAGTTAATCTTGAGTGCAAGAATTAATATTTAATTTTCGTCAGGGACCTATAACAGAATGTGTGTGCACTGTTGCTTGACTGTTGAGGTCTGGTGACAAAAGTTGCAACTAAAGTATGATAGATTGGCAAAGATAATCGTCCATGTGATTAGACATCATCTTTTCTTACTGAGTTTGGCAAATGGTGAGAAAAATCTGAAGATGACTTTCATGATAGGTGAAATATATACAAAGTTCCAAATCCAGCGGTTATACATGAAATTTTATTGGAACATGACCACATTCATTCATTTCCCTATTATCTGTGTCTGCTTTTGTGTTACAATGGCAGAGTATTGTGACAAGCACTGTGTATAGTGCACAAAGCCAAACAGCTTTGTCTTCTGGCCTCTTACTGAAAATCATTTACTGAATCCTGCTGTAGTTGGTTAGACAGAAAAAGGCACTCAATTTCTTCATAACTCCGAAGATTAAACTTGCAGTCCTTTCCTTTTTAGGTCTTCAAAAAAAAGTAGATATTACTGAGCCCTTTCTGAGTGTTCATGACCTTCCAGGGCTGATGTATCTCTTGATTTTCATTCCAAGATAAGAGTTTCACTCTCCACTCGCTACCTTTGAAAATTTAGTGGGCCTAAGATCCATGGAGAGGATGATGACTCAGAAACCAGTGAACACATATGCAGAGAATGTTGCAGTCAGATGGGTAGACTGCAAAAGGCATATGCATTTTCTAGAACTCTGTTATTTCCAGATCTAACTAAGGCTAAGGAAGCTTTTACTTGGTGTGAGAGAAAATGATTTGCAATATCCATTAGTTTGTATATTTCCTCTTTGAAAGGGTTCCCTTCCCCTCCCTCTTTCTCAACCACTTACCCAATTTATTCATAGTACTTTGATAGTTGTAAGCTTCTTTTATCACCATAGGGAGACGATGGTACACATTCATTACACACCATATAAGGGAGAAGCTAAATATATGCTCTTTGAATATAAGTACATAATGTACCTGGAAAACCTAATAACCTTACCTTGAAACATTGAATATTATCTCTGAAGGTACGACTCAAAAGTGAACATTCTTAAGATCAATTGTCAGGACAAGAGATTTCTGGCGAATTTCTCAATATGTTGGAACCACACTGGTAACAAAGCTTGATTAGTGTGATAAAACTGTGGCTCTTTATAGTATCAGAGGGAGAGACTTTCACATGTGTGTTAGTTAATGATTTACAGCAATCATCTCCAGGATTTTCCTGTGACAGCAAGGCCTAAGAGATGTACAGATTTCTCTTACCATATGTGACTTATCGCATATATTTTTAAAAGCCACATTTCTGTTATTAAGACATATGTGATAGTATACTTCTGAAAATGTGAATTGCTTTTGGCTAAAAGCCATGCACTAATAAGTTGAGTTGAATCTAACCAAGGTTGACATCTGTTACAGAGAGAGAGAGAGAGAGAGAGAGAGAGAGAGAGCATGCGAGCCACTGTTAAGCACAAAATTCTTCCCTCATCTTACACTTTAACAACATTAAACAATGTAGTGGTTTTCTTTCACAAATCAAGATCAGAATCCACTCAGCTTAGGAAATTACAGTTTTATTTAGGAACTGATCTATCTTGTAGATATGGTAGTTTCATTATTGAAAGTGACAAATAACCACGAAGACTTTCCTGTCTGTGATGTTTGCACATGATTCATTTAGTCATCCAATGAATATTTAAGATCTACAGCATTCTGGTAACTGCTACAGTTGCTGAAGGAATTAAAAATAAATTTGGCACAGGTCTTACCCTCAAGGAGGTTAGAATCCAGTAGGAGAGATAACATTGGCTTGTGAAGAGCTAAATGCAAGGTAGATATGAGAGAGAGAGAGAGAGAGAGGGAGGGAGAGAGATTGAGATTTGCTAAGAGAGGAACAGATAAAGTAGGACAGAAGCTCTAAGGAGAGAGCTTAGCACTGCTGGAGACATGAGAAAAAGGAAGAGGGGGAGACCTTTGCATCAGGACTTTAAGGGCTGCTGGTCTGAGTCACTGGCTTGAGGAGTCCAGGGAGGTGCAAGGAGCCCAGGCTGTCCACTGGTGTGCAGGAAAGGAAAGGCCAAGTTGAAAATCAAGGTTGAGAAAAAAATGGTGGCTTGGGGCTTTGAGACTTATCCAGCTGAAACAGTCAACTAGCACAGAAGAGCTCTTAATCTGATAATGAGTATGAATTATCAATTAGTTCCCTAGTTATTAAACTCAAAGTGTTGGTAGGACTGGGTTCAAATCTTGAGTTTGACGTAAGCTTGTAGTATGAAATTGCGCATGTCCTTTCCTTCTTACAGGCCTCAGCAAGATTATTTATATGGTCCTTGTAAGTCTTAAAATAAATACTTAAAAGCCTGCTTTATAAGTATGCTCATTTTAGAATGTATTTGATCTACTTTGATGTAAATTTGTGCATAGACATATGTCATCAGCATCGCATATATAATATATCTGTATTTTTCTCCACACAAACATGCACGCACACATGCACAAAATGCCTTTCCCCATCATTTCAGCCTTCTG